CTATAAAACGAATGTGTATTATGTATTTATAACAATGGTTTATTGCAGAAATATACTTATTTGGCTTATTTTGGTTATGCTCTAACTACCGTCTTTAGAATTGGACGTTCCTTTAACAATATTTAACTCGTTCTCTACATACATATCGTTCTTGGAGCTGTCCAAATAACTGCAAAAGCAAAACATGTATACGCCATAGTTATCAATGATGAAGGTAATTAGTAGTAGTGATACACATATCATTCCTTTGCTGCAACAGGGTCATAATCCAAAAATATATATATTTCTGAGTCAAGTATGCAGAAATAACCGCCACTACTCTTCTTCCTTGTTGTGTAAAAGTCAGATAGCAATTGCTTTTTCTTAAAACTTCAGATTTTTACTCTATCTCTTTAAATAAATGTAAGTGGTCTGAAATTTTAATAACAAGCAAATGCTTAGTTTTTATTAATACGGTCCAATAGCTCATTAGAAGGGAATGTGTCTTCATTTTTACCACGGGAGCCCATGCAAACTTAAAGCCGCTTTTCTCTAGGGTTCGATATTTTGGAATATGTATAACGCTCTTGCATCAAAGGTCCGATATGCATAACTTTCAAAGTGTCGGTATTAATTTGGGTGGATAGATTTTGATGCAAATTTAACGAATTTCTGGCGGATGTATGTATATATTTACAAATGAATTTACTATATGTATACAGCATGTTTTAAGTGCATACTCAGTAGGCCATATCTTCTTTAGCCTTTACATCAGGCAATCTCTCTGACCTTTCACAATATGGTTGTGTTTCCGCATTATGATACGATTCAAGATGGCGCTTTAAGAGTAGCTGTTCCGGAAATTCCTTAATCAAATATAACCAACAGTCAATAGATCTGCAAAGCGGAAAAGGTAGAATAATAAAATTCATTACATATTATTTAATTACCCAGCATGCTTACACATTATCCTTAGATTTTACTTGTTGTATTTCACGATCGTAATAGTTAGGGTAATCCTCTAGCACATCGAGATTCGCAAACATAGTATCGTCCACCTCATATACTTCACCGCATATGTTATGGCCCGCTCCAGGTTTGTTTAGCAAAAATGGAATGTTGTAACGTGTGCCTATCACCAGTGGAAACTTTTGCACAGTTTGCGCCTCGCATACGAAACGCGAGTGTCCGTTTTCGGGACGTGTGAGCCAGTGGTGATTGGGCTCACCGCGTTTCAATGTGCCATAGACAAACACTTTTATGAGATTTCCAGACAGTTTGGCAGTCATTTCGTAACTACTGATGGTACTTTAAACCTCATTAAGTAAATAGCGCAGACGAGTCGAAAGCTTTGCGATTGTAGATAATAGATTTTAGGGTAATTAACATTTTCTAGCGTACCCGGAGTAAACAAAAGATATGCTCAAAAAATATTGACATCCAAGAGATTGTTCAGCCTCGCTTTAATAAGTGTGCATTTATTTTAAAGAAAATAAATCCATCTTAAATTTTTTAGTTAATTTTACTACACCTGAGTTTAGGGTTGGAGAAATTTATAGGTCCGGCAGTTCCATTTATAATTAACATGTGGCATCCATGATATTAACCCTAACGTGTACCATCAGCGATTTTGCACGCTTAACCCATCGAATAGTGGCACGAACAATATTTAGCCAAAGAACGTAAATGTATAAGAAGCGACAACTCGTTACTTTGAAAATGTGCCGCGACGATTTTGACCGTATCTGAAAGGTTGTGATGAGGAGTTCGTCTCCCCAAAGAACGTAAATGTATAAGAAGCGACAACTCGTTAAAGTCGGCGAGTGAGGTCTGAAAGGTTGAGATGAGGAGTTCGCGTCCGTTTTAACATCCATTTTCGTAAATGAATTCGCCGCACATATGGTTTCGCGGCGACAAAGAACGTTAAGAAAAAGTGACCGATGATAGAAATAATCAAATGAAATGAAAAAAAACATGGCCGCAGCTCTTTGTGTTTATTTGCTGACGGCATTTAACAATTTGCATGCGCATGTGCATAAATTTACTTTATTTTATAATTTTAAACAAATATAAGTAAATTAAATAC